TCAAAGTGAAAGAGCGTGCCGTATCCACAAGGGTGCGTCACCTGCAGCCATGCTCTACGCTGCGACCTCAAGTGTGAGCGGCTAGTGCGCCGAGTTCATTGCAGCCCTCACCCTGTGTGGGACGCACAACAGCAACGTACATTGCCTCAAGCCAGCAGTATCAAAGCTGCGAAACGGTAACCGCACGATCCGTCCTGAAAGTACGCTGCTCGCAGCGCTCGCGCAGCATGACAAGCACGCACGTACCCGAGTCCTGTATCCTGAGGCTGAGCGTTGCCGCAGCCTCAACACCGCTCAATGCCAGCGGCACATAGAAGCTCATCAGCCCAGCAGCAACGTCGCCGCCGCCGCCGCCGCCCTGGTCCGCCCGCGCCGCGCGGCGTACGAAGTCAGCGCTGGCACGGTCACTGCCGCAGCGTCGTCGCAGCGCTCATCTCCGCGGGGCGAGGGTTTGGCGCCGCGTAGCAGCACGTGCACAGCGGGCGTGTCGGCGAAGCGCACGGCGCGCGGCGGCAGCCCGCAGGCGGCGCCCAGCGCCGCGCACAGGCCGTGCTGCAGCGTCGCGTCCTGCGCAGCGGCGGCGGCAGCGGGCACGCGCAGCAGCGGCGGTCGTGTCGATTAGGCTCCATGCATGTGGCACCACTGTTATTGTTCGAAAGCGTATGTTGGAGTCACATGTGGCTTGCATGATGCGATTGATTTGACGTGCTGGTACCTTCCAACAGTGACGTTGGTAAGCCCGGCGGCTGGGGACACGCTGCAGACATGCGTCCGCCTGCCACATTGGGAGTCGTGAGACAACAGTACTGCTTGCAAAGTTGCTCACAGCGCACAGATGGCTCTGCTTGAAGGCCTGTTGTATCTTCAGCATTCATCTTCGCTGCTGCTGCGTAGTGAGCATAGGCACACGGCCACCCTGCAAAACATGGCTATTGCACACCGTCCTCATGCGGATTACTCACATCAGATGTGCCGTATGAGTGGATGCTCAACCCGTATTATTGTGGGTACACACCCAAAAACAAGCGGGTCTTCATCCTCTCACAACTCTTTAAAGTATCATATTGAAGCGCTCATCATGTCATGCCCCCCCCCCTCCCCATGCGGTGCTGCAGCGTGCCCTTGTGGAACGGCGCGAGACTGCGCGCACTCGCGGCGGGGCGCCTGCGCCGCGCATACGCAGACGTCAGAAAAAGAGAAGCGACGAATACGCCTCGGAGTATGTGTACATTTAGTTCGGTACGTGCTGCAAGAATGGGTGAATTGATATATGTGCTTCGTGGCGAGCCAGCCGTCTGTGCGACGGTGGGCGGAGAAGCGTCGCACACTGCTGACCGCGATTTGCGCTTCAATGCTCACTGCCCTTACGGGTGACCATCCACGCTTCCGAGTGCTGTGTGGTGGTAAAAACGAAACACCGCGAGGGTCCCGGCACTGGCAGCGGGCGCATGCGCGGCGCTTGTGAACATGCAGAGTCTAGACTGAGCATGCAGAGCCCTGAGTCATCTGCACATTTGTGAACATGCTTTCATGACTGCATCACTGTAATGTCTGGTGAAGTCTTTCAAGAGTTGCACTACTCGCACTGGTCATGACTAGCGCTACAGCTCTGATGCTCATGAATGCCTGGTTACTCACCATCATCCGTGGCAGCCACACAAGGTCATGCGATCAGTATCAGGTTATTCACATTTTAATCTTGACGTCGTTTTGAGCAGACGCGCAAAACAATGCAATGAGGCCAGGCTTTCTGTCAATCGCTGTGATGAATACAAGATCGCACAGAGGCGCCGGTCTCGCATCGGTTACTTGCGTCACATGGGAAGCTCACCCAAAGCTCCGAGGCCACTGGCAGTTCGGCGACATTGACTGTCATAAGGTCATTGCTCAGCAACGATTGCTGCTGAGCATCCACGCACCAGCGGTGCAGCTCCGCAGCCAGCCTGTTGCAGCCGCAGCGTTGCGCAGGAGAGAGCATGCGAGACAGCGTCAATCACAACTGCCTCGCATTACTCAGAGAGCGCAAGTCAAACATGAACCTGGACACGACGGTGCGGCGAGCGCTGCCACAGAGACTTTGCAGACGTACGCTGGTCGCTGCACGCTGCTCTGACCCTGGGTGCACGCGCTTCTAGGGCTGGACGGTTGCGCAGCGGCACATGTTCACGGCTGCGTGCAATGGCCAGTCACCTGCTGGTCTCGTCTGGTTCAAGACGCGCAAACGCCCCCAGCGTAACGCGCTCCAATGGATTCCCACGCCCGCCCGTCATCACCCTGAACGCAGCAGGCTCCACAGCAAGCGCGCGGTGCACTCTGCACCTCTCCAGCAGGGCCTTCCACACCCGCTGCGGCGACTTGCGCTGCGTGCGTGTTGCTGGTGCAGCCTCCACTGTAGCAGCGATGCGGCTGCCCGGCAGCTGTAAGCACAGTGCCTGCGCCAGCAACGTCATGGCTTGGTCAGATGTGGCTTTGCCATCAGCGCCCAAGATTCCCGCTGCACGGGAGTCATCTGAATAGCCTTCAGCTGGTACCCAGGCCTTGGGCTCCATGTGTCTCCGCAAGGCTGTTGCCGCTGCAGCATCTGTCGCTGTCCTGGGCTCCACAGGCAGCAGCACCAGCTGGTCACTCTGTGTGTAGTAGGCCTGCACTCTGGTCTGCGGCAAGGTGGCTGCAACTTTGTCGAGCAAAGGGGTGGCAGCCAGGTCTAGGACCACAGCTGCAGGTGCAGCAGCCTCGCGAGGCCGCAGCGTGGTGCGTGAAGGTGCGAGGCGCCATGTCCCGAGCGCAGCAGCATTGCGCGGCAGTTGTTGCCAGGCAGCCACAGCACTCGCAAAGCACAGCAGCACACAAATGCTGCAGTTGCGGCTGCATGCCTCACGCCTGAGCATGCTTGTTGCAACTGGCTTTAGGGACTTGCATGCAGGCTCCTGCTGCGCATAGGAGGCGTCATGACAACTTCGGCAGTGTCTCAGTGGTCTCCTCTAGTGTTGGTGGCGACGATGCAGACACCATGGACAATGCTGATGATGCCTTGCTGACGGTACCGTAGTCTACTCTGTAGTCGTCTATGCACTTGCTGCTGTGTAGTAGTCTATGTATGCAGTTGCCGACTTTACAAGTGACTGTAATAGTCTATGCACTGCACAGAGATGCATGCACCATTGCAGGACACTGTGGCAGCACATCAGAGCTTGTGAAGTTACAAAGTTCAACTGCGCAGTTAGCGCGGTGTAGCACTTGTCGGCGGGCGCCACGGCCGCGAGCGAGCGTAAGCGAGCGCGCGCCGTGCACACGCCTTCTACTTCGTGTGAGGACTAAGGGATGGTGAACCGAAACCACAGCACAAGAAGGAGACGGGCGCAGTGTCGGCGACAGTGGCAGCAGCAGTAGCAGCCGCAGCGTGCAGCAGTAGCACTTAATCGGCCAACGCATCAGAGCAGCAAGGTCGCAAGGGCGGAGGTGCAAAGAGCGGCTAGTCGTGTCCACCGCGATAGAGCAGCGTGAGCACCTTGCTGTTGACCGTGCTAGGCAGCCTATGCGAGAACCGTGAACAACGGTCTGCTGTTGACCGTGCTAGGCGGTCTGTGCGAGAAACACCAGAGCAACATCAGCAACGTCTCGCTGCGCGTCGTGCTAGGCGGTCTGATGCTCGTGCACGAGAGACACCACCAGCGACTTGTCGCAGATGGTGCCAGGAGTGGCTGCTCGTAGAGTGAACAATACTTTATTGGACCAACGCGCAGAATTGACATGAATTCATAAGTGAATGTCTCACCCGAGGTCGCATTCCGTTCTGGTGATTTATCACGTGCGGACCCTCAAATTGCACATGTGCAGTTGCTACATGGGCAACCAGCTACAGGAGAATCACCGGATGGGCTGCCACTGCATGAGGATATGCTCGAGATCCCTCATGAAGTTCTAGGGTTGGCAAACGAGTTCTATGACCGTTTGTATTCCTATGAAGTCAAGTCTTGGCAGTGCCACGTCACGGTGTGTCATGGAGCTTAACCACAGGAAACCTATAGCTATGACGAGTGTCAGCAAGCCATGCACAACAACGCTCCTCTCGTTCGTCCTGCAGTTTATATCTGTAGCGAATGCGTAGGTCCATATAAAGCCTACCGACTGCGCACATCTAGTGCTGTTATGCTACCAGTCTTCAGCGTTCAGAACTCAAATGCCATTGTTCCATGAACCATGTCCCCCTGAACTGTCCGAGCTCACATATGTGGAACAGTTACTACACAATAGTATGCATATGCTTAGTAATACATTTGCCCATGGTAAAGGTGTATCGCCTTTCTGGCTGGTGATCAAGTAGGTTACGCAGGGCATGTGACGACGCTGGACAATCTTTATGTAAGCTACCAATGCAGTGCAACAGAAGGCTCAGTCTCTGCCCCACCATTTTGCATACATGAATGTGTGCCTTGTGATGCTTTGCGCAAATATTTGCATTGATTGTGCCGCCGTGGCCTGCTCACTCAGTCTGTTGTGCCATACGCTCTCACCGTGTGACATTGCCCGTATCCTTCAAAACAACCCACAATGCTGCACTGCCTGTGTTTGACTGCAGTGTCCTGGATGGTGCACATGAGCATGCATGCCTGCTGATTTGGCACTGGTGATGCATGACGTACATCAATTCCTGCTTGATTGACCGTAGGTCATTGATCTACTCACCTGCACACCCGACACCATGGATGCATCGCCGCATTCACCATGGCCTGCCCTACTTGCATTAGGGTTTCATGGTAGACGCCCGCCTTCGAAGATCATTCTCTTGTTTTCAACGGGGCGTTTGGTCTAGTGGCATGATTCTTCTTTGGGGTAGAAGAGGTCGCCGGTTCGATTCCGGCAACGATGCAGGCATCAGGGACGACGCTCATGCCTGTGCACACAATGCATTGCGTTCCACACATCTGCACATCTGCACACTTGCTTCAAGTGCGCTCGACCCTGTACTACATGTTCAGTTAATCCATTACTCTCAACAGGGGCGTTTGGTCTAGTGGCATGATTCTTCTTTAGGTAGAACAGGTCGCCGGTTCAATTCCGGCAACGATGTAGGCAGCAGCAGGGACGCTGACGTCTATGTGCACACATACAGTTGCAGTTGCTTCAAGTGCGCGTGAACCCTACACTAGATTTTTAACTCATCCACTGACTTCAACAGGGGCGTTTGGTCTAGTGGCATGATTCTTCTTTAGGGTAGAAGAGGTCGCCGGTTCAATTCCGGCAACGCCTCGGTTCCCGAGAACCTGTTTTTTCACTTTTGCTCTCGATTTTTTCTTTTTACTGTCCTCCACCAAAAATGTTGTCTCACACCTGGTAATTTGTAGTCAGTACATGCATGCATGAAAACACCAGCTGCTCGTTAGCACCGAGAGGTGCGGCAGCGCTTGCGGTGGCGCTGATGGTGGCGAGGGTGCATCAGGCAGCTAGGGGATGGGAGATGCTGGCTCTGACTGTGAGCAGGAGCTGCGGAGTCGCGTGTGGTGAGGATACGGCTTTGGGCAGCAGCAGGGGATATTGGAACATGGGGATGCGGATAGCATCAGGGCACACTGCAGATCGTTCGCTTGAACACGCAAGAAAGAGAACCTCGGCCAGGCACGTCAGCGGCGTGCTTATGCAAGGAATCGAGGACCGGGCGCCTCTGGCCCAAATGTATACTAGAGGCATAACCGCGGTCCTCCGGCGTTTTCGCTCAAGAGATGGAGACATCGGCTACGATAGGTGTGGCTCAGACTGGGTGCCGCTGTGTCTACCCCCCCTGAGTCTAGTACAAGCCTGCAACGCAGGGCTCTAAGGGCCCGTCCGATTTTAGTTTTTTGCAATCTTATCCAACGCATCAAGCCCACCTTGGGGCTGCTATAAATACAAGATCATAAGTACATGCATGTCTGTTTTTCTGATAACCTCTCTTTTCACTCTTCCTCAGCCCCCCATCACACTGGCGCTCTGCTCGGTTATAAGGCCTTAGGGCTTGTGTTTTCTGACATTCAGCACCGCCTACTCGTAGGCGGGACTCGCCAAAGGAAACCGCCTTTGCCCACAAGTCAATGGACAAAGTGCTGAAAAAAAGCGATGTGCTTGCACAATTTATGAATAATGAAAGGCGTTCTGCATTGTATACATGTTCCAGTGAAAAGAGAGTCTCTCAAAAAGTGCGGCTTGAAATGTCACACGTTCAACAGCGCTTCTGCATGCTGGTGCGACATACCACATGCTATTGGCAGGCATGGGCAGGTGGGCAAGCAACGCCGCATCACGCAAGCCAAAACTACTAGCAGTTATGCAGCTGTGACTGAGAGTACGTATAGTGTCATTGGCACTGCAAGAAAGTAGCCACTAGTGCAGTGTCATGCATCGTGTAGCAGTGCTCAGCCACAGCTGTGAGACAGAAGCACTACCGGTAGGTGGTGCATACTAGAAACAGCAACAGGCTGAGCCTGAGGCGCAATGTAATGCAACTTTACAACTCCTCCCCCCCCTCTTCCTCCGACTCCCCTCCCCCCTCCGAGCCCACCTCCGACTCTGACCCCGACTCCCCTTCCGACTCCCCCTCCGACTCCGCCGCCCCCGCCGCCAGCGTGAAGCGCGGCACCCCCCTCGCATGCGCCGGCGCAGCCCCCACGATGTGCAGGCGAAACGTGTCCTTGCGGAACACGATGTACACCTTGGCGTTGGCGCCCTCCAGCGCCAGCACCCCCTGCAGCGCGAAGTGCAGCCTGCGAGCCTGCTTTCCACTGAACCGGGTTGAGTACATGGGTATGTACGCCTCGCCGCCCACTCCAACCTCGCCGCTGATTTTGACGTAGACTTTGCGGCCGGGCTCGTCCAGCAGCGCCGTGATGTGACTAGGAGGCTGAACGCCGGCGCCCGCCAGCTGCCGCCAGTGCACCTCGTAGCTGCGCACGGGCAGCGCGCAGCAGGTGCTTGATGCACACCGCCACCTCCACGCGGTTGTGCAGCCAGCTAATAAAGTAGCCGGTGGCGCCGTCGGACGCGTTGGCGCAGCCGTCGCCCGCGTGGTCCCCCAGCACCAGCGCCGCCGCCCACGACCGGTCAACCCCCCCCTGCCCCTTGAAGGGGATGGGCCCCAGCAGCCGCACCTGCGCCCTGCGAAGGTCGCTGCCAGCGGGGGTGTGGGAGCCGGGCAGGCCCGAGGCGATGCCGCACAGGCTGGTGAAGGTGGCGTACGCAGAGCGCAGCGCCAGGTACGCCTTGGGGACGCCGCCGCTGAGCATCTCCGTGGTGACGGTGGCGATCATCGGCGTCCCCAGCAGCGCCGGGTAGAGGCGCTTGCACTCCAGCAGGTGCTCCTCGCTGGCGCCGAGCTTGAACTTGAAGAGCACCCCGCTCTTGAAGTGCACTTTAATGGCGTCCTTCACCAGCAGCCTCAGGTCGCCGGGGCTGCTGTACAGCGCCGCCGCCTCCACCATCGCCTGCGCGTTCTGCCGCGCGGTCCTGCCGGCGGCGGCGCCCAGCAGCGACACGTGGCTCATGCAGCCCACGAGCAGCTTGTACTCCGTGGGGACGCCGCCGGTGTGCGCCAGCCGCAGCACGGACTGGTCCGTCAGGCGGCGCAGCAGCAGCGTGGCGGGGTAGTTGCCATGGGTGTAGGCAAGGGAGTTGGTCGCCGCGATGGCGTGCTGTAGCAGCGCCACCCCCAGCACGGCGCGCGCTACCTCCAGCGCGCCGTCGCGCTGCCGCTGCTGCCGCTGCTGCTGCTGCGCATCGCTCAGCGGCGCCGCCCCCGCGCGCCCGCCTTTTCGCAGGCGCCGCAGCTCGGCTCGCAGCAGGCGGCGCGCGGCGTTGCCGAAGAACTGCGTTGACATCGCCGCGCTGGTGACCTTGCCCTCGCCGCCGACGGCGCCCACCACGCGCATGTCGTCCATGGTGTCGGCGGGCAGCACGAGCGCGCGCGTGCACCTGTCCAGCAGCGGCACCGTCTGGCGCTCCACCTGCCCCCTGGCGGCGCCGCCCTGATCGTGCTGCTGCTGATTGTCGCTGGGGTAGATGAAGGCGGCGCCATAGCGGCCACCGCCGCCGCGCACGTGGTGCAGCAGCGTGTTGCGCACGGTGGTTTTCTCCTGCGCTGCGGACCCCAGCTCGCGCCGCAGCGCTGCGTCGACGGGGCTGTTGAGCACTGCTGCCACGCAGTCCGTGTAGTGGCTGTTGGTGCAGGGCAGCGTGCCGTGGAAGGCGCCCATGAGCAGGTCATGGATGGCGCGCTGCGGGGGGGAGTTACGCACGAAGACGGTGGTGAAAGGGAGGTGCTGCTGCTGCTGCTGCTGCTGCTGCTGGTGGTGGTGGTGCTGCTGCGCCTGCTGCTGCTGCGCCTGCTGCTGCTGCTGCGGCTGCGGAGCCTGCTGCTGCTGCTGCTGCGGCTGCGGAGGGGCTGCCACGGGCACTTTGAACCGCGCGCCCAGCCCCATGGCCCTGCGCCTCCGCGAGCAGAGCTGAGAGCACGCGGGGGCCCTTGATGAGGCCGTTGTAGAGTAGCTGGCTGCGCGCCACTGCGGTCAGGTCGCAGTCCACCAGCAGCTGCGCAAGGGGGGCCACGGCGCCGCCGGGCTGCGCTGCAGCAGCCGCCGCCGCCAGCAGCTGCTCCAGTGCGCCGGCCCGCGCCGCTGGCTGGGGCTGAGCAGGTGCTGCTGCCGCAGCGGCAGCGCCGCTCGCAGGTGCCGCCGCCGCCGCGTTGACAACCAACTCCTGCACCGCCGCCGTCAGCTCCCGCACCACAGAGGACATGCGGCGAGTGCCGACGCGCATGCGAGTGTCGCGCAGCTTCCGCACCACCACCATCTCGCGCTGCTCGCTGGCGGCGCGCTGCTGCTGCGGCGTGCGCAGGCACGCGCCGCTGATGCTGGCAGCTGCGGCGGCGGGCACCCCCCGGGGCAGCTGGTCCTCAATCATCTCCTCGAACCAGATGTCCTCCTCAGCGATCTCCACCCTCGCCCTCTCCCTGATGCCCTGCTCAGCCTCCATCAGGGCGGCGCCCTGCTGCGCGTCGCCGACGTCGCCGTCCTGTGGGGGCGCAGCGGCGGCGGCAGCGGCAGCGGCAGCGGCAGCGGCTGCTGCTGCTGCTGCTGCTGCTGGTAGTGCCGCTGCCGCCGCTGCCGCCGCTGCTGCCGCTGCCGCCGCTGCTGCCGCTGCCGCCGCCGGTGGAGCTGCTGCTGCTGCTGCCGCTGCTGCCGCCGCCGCCGCTGAAGCTGCTGCTGCTGCTGCCACTGCTGCCACCGCCGCGGCGCGCGCCGTGACGGCCTGAGCATCGACGGCGAGGGCGTCGAGTATGGGCGCGCGCGCAGCGTGGGCGGGGCAGATGTCGTCAAACGCGAGGCTGGCGGCGAAGGCGTGGTGGATGCTGAGCATGTGCTCAGACAGCATGGGCGTGCCGCACACCGTGCAGATCAGGCTCGAGGGTCCTGCGGCAAGAGCCGGCTCCGCGCGTCGCGCCGCCGCCGCCTCCACCGCCGCGTCGGGCGCAGGGTCAGTCGCAGGCACCGACGCAGCTGCCGCCGCATGCGCAGCGCCGCCGCCGCCGCCGCCGCCGCCGCCGCCGGGGGTAGCTGAGGGGAGGTCGGGCAGCTGCTTGCCCCTCGCCAGCGCCATCTGCGCTTTCAAGTCCCCAGGCCCCCGCTTGTTCCACCCCTTCATGCTCTTGAATTTGCCACGCACCACGGCTTGAGTTGACCTTCCTGCACCTCGGCAATTGAGCTCTCTCAATTCACCAGCCTAGGCAGCTTCAGGCAGCGCCTGCCTGCTAATGCCGCTGCAGCAACTCTCGTTTTTCGCTCATTCTTATGAGATCCCTTCTTTTACTCCTTTTGCCTCTGCAACCTCGGCCAAGCTCCCCTTCGCAATAGAACACTGGATACATTCACGTTTGCGTTTGCAGCATGGGTCGAGCTCCCGAGACCCCTCCCAGGGCTGATGCTGGTGGTGCTGGCGCTGGCTACACCCCGCGGCGGCAGCGGCAGTGATGCGGCGTGCATGGCGGCACGGGTGTCGGAAATCGACCTTCCTCCTTTTTTGTTATCCTGCGTGCGGCTGGCAGTG